CTGCTGAAAAAGAAACCCAGCCAAGAGTCAGTTTGACTTGTTTCCCTGTTCAAAGACCTTCTGCTTGGATCTTCCCACCAGCCCTGTTCTTGGAGGTGACTTTGAGAGCACATGTGTCTTCTGGGAGAGGTCTTATTGCTGCTTGGCTGGCCAGAAGCCTGGATTTAAAGTTCACGGCAGAACTAGCATTGTCCTCCACTGTCAGCAATCTCCTGCACTGGGGAGTCTGCCACTTGGGTAGCTGCACTTGCCCAGAATGCCTGGCGAAAATGTAGGCTGCTGACCCTGGTGCAGTGCAACCCACAGTAGCCAAGCCTGTAAAAGTCTCTGCAAAATGTGTCAAGAGTGGCATCTAGTGGCCCTAGTGCGTCATGCCAAGTGCCTTGCAGAGAGTGGCTTCACTTCAGCAAAGGCAATGAGGAGTCCGGTGGCACCTTAAAGATGAACGGATTTATTTGGGCATAAGCTTTCGTGGGTAAAAAACCCACTTCTTCAGATGCCTGGAGTCCTTCAGCAAAGGGAAATTTAAGCTGAACCTCAGGGAGCAGCATTTCCGAGCAGCAGAAGAGGAATTAGGGAAGCCACATTACCAGGGGAAGTTCAAGGGCCGGGAGACTAGAGGAAGGACTAACTGGGACTTAACCGGGGTTTTCCAGCTGATTTCTCTAGTTATATATTACGTGTGTTACGGTAACACCCTGGAATTCCCACTCAGGGCCAGCTAGGCCTGTGCCGACGCCGAACAAAAAGACAGTCCCTTCCCCCAAAGTATTTACAAGCTAAATGATCTTCGTGCTTTGGACAACTCGGCCTTGGTTAAAGACAAGAACCTCGCTACTAAAAAGAAGATGCAAGTGCCAGGTATAAGCGGGATGGTTAAACACGTCTTCCTGGCTTGATTTGTTCATGCCGCTCCTGCGTCCGCTGTTTAATGTCACACTCCGCACTCAAGGCCACTAGAGAGAGGCAGAACTCCGAGTGTCTAAGCGAGCTCTTGGTTGGTTTGCATTCAGCACAGCTCTGCTAATGGGGCCGGTGGGTAGCAAACGTCAAAAGGAGCAACAGGGAGTGCTTGAATGTTACTCGCGGGGCATTTGAAACAGCGGAGAATGCTGCTGCGGGAGGGATGCGAATTCATGCCCAGGCGTGACGCCAAAGGCGTTTTAAACCTCTTTGTCCCGGAGTCCCAAGGTCCGGGCTATGTCCCAGCGTGTAACCAGTCCCTTGAGAGTGACCCCATTAGTGGGCCAGGCCCCCAGGACCTACCGCAACAGGCCTGTGGCCTTCAGACTGAAACTGGGCCTTCGGCATTAGCGTTCCCGGTCTCTCTCGCTGCAGCAAATCCAGCCCAACTAGATGCCTGTGGGAGCCTTGTACTGGGCCCCTTCCAGGCTCTCAGGGAGTATTCACAGGGACACCTTTGTTCTCTAGCTGGGGTTCTTGTCCTGCTTCCCTGCAGGGGGTGGGGGGGGATTTCCTTCCTCTTGGATGGTAGTTGCTAGGTGTGAAGGGCCTGGTGGGGAGGTGTTCCCTGGGTGGTGCCTTGGCTGGGGTGCAGCTAGCATAAGGCCTCTGCATTGGTCTTGCTCCCAGCCCTCAGTACAGAGGGTGGATTGGGAGCACGGCTGGGGCCCGCTGCCCTGTTCTCCGGGGTCCATGGGGAGCAGGGCGCAAGCTAGAACAGCCCAAAGGCTGCACCGCCTCACAGTAGGAGAAGCACAAAAGCAGCATAAAGCCACCTGAATCCTCCCCGCCCATCCCTGGTCCTGGCCCAAATACAGGAAAGGATTACCAGACAGCCAAAGCCAAGGGGCCCACGGAGGAGCTGCCCTGATCTCTAGGGGGGAAATAGCAACCCCAACACACTGCTAGTCTCCTTTTCTCAGTAATGATCTAGGCGCATTTGGAGCCTCATTCGCGGACCAGAGCCCCATTGTGCTCGGCACTGCACAAAGATGAACCTGTCACTCGTAGGCTTTGCGTTTAACCCTCCTCTTGTCAGCCCCAGGCGGCTGTGGTTGAGAGGGTAACCCTGCAGAGCAAGATTCTTAAACATTTGTTTTCACTGACTTTTCTTACAAGGATGACAAAGAGGATCGAAGTGGGCTGGCTTGGCCTACTTTTTTCATCACCTTGTTCTCCAACAAACCCGTTTTTGTTCAAAAACCAAAATTAAGCTTCTAGTCGCAAACAGAATCATCAAACTGTGAACCAAGTGTAAACCACCGCAGTGCTTTCTACCCGACCCTGCAGCCAGCCTGAAACAATCCCTCTGAGAGATGTCACTTGTCTCAATTAATCTCAGTAGACTGTTGACTCTGAAACCTAATGGTGATTGTTTCACTGGCAATGCTGTGAACTACTTCATTGCTGTGCAAAGAATGCAGGAAAGTTGATGGATGATGATCAACTCCTCCCGCTGTGCTGCAGAGTGCATAAAACAATAAAACTATATTGGGAAGGGCTGCACAATTTATTGTGAGTAGCACCTCGTTGTGGCACTTCAAATGGGCAGGCTTAGTTTGAGGGTGGAGCCTGGGAGCATAGCATTTTCCCTTCAATTTCATCCCTGCTTTTAGCTGAAGAACCTGGATCCAAACATCCCTGAACATTTGTAAGAAAATAAGAACAGCCATACTGGGTCAGACCAAAAGTCCATCTAGCCCAGTATCCTGTCTTCCAACAGTGGCCAATACCAGGTACTTCAGAGGGAATGAACAGAACAGGTAATCTTCAAGTGAGTCATTACTTGTCGCCCATTCCCAGCTTCTGGCAAACAGAGGCTAGGGACACCGTCCCTGCCCATCCTGGCAAATAGCCATTGATGGACCTATCCTCCAAGAATTTATCTAGTTCTTTTTTGAACCCTGTTATAGTCTTGGCCTTCGCAACATCCTCTGGCAAGGAGTTCCACAGGTCGACTGTGTGTTGCGTGCAAAAATACTTCCTTTTGTTTGTTTTAAACCTGCTGCCTATTAATTTCATTTGGTGACCCCCTAGTTCTTGTGTTATGAGAGAGAGTAAATAACACTTCCTTATTTACTTTCTCCACACCAGTCATGAGTTTATAGACCTCTATCATATCCCCCCTTAGTCGTCTCTTTTCCAAATTGAAAAGTCCCAATCTTATTAATCTCTCCTCGTACAGAAGCTGTTCCATACCCCTAATCATTTTTGTTGCCCTTTTCTGAACCTTTTCCAATTCCAATCTATCTTTTTTGAGATGGAGCAACCACATCTGCACGAAATTCAGTTCCTAAATGCAGCTGGAGGAGCCTATTTCTAGCTATATTATATTGTGCAAATTCCCCCTTAATCTAAACAAAAATCTACATTTTGGGGCCTAAATTCAGACTCTAGCTGTCCCCAAGGGCATAAAGAGGGGCTGGATTAAAGAACCATATTCAAACTAGGATGAGAACCATGTTGACAACAGCCATTAACAGGGTTACACATTAACTGTGCAAACATCATTTTCATCCAAGTTTGGACCCATCCCAAATTCCCAGGGACAGGAGGACTCAGCGTTGACCGCAGAAGACACAAACTGTATGACACTCAGAGTGATGGGGGGGTGGAGGTCCTGAGGTGATGGGGGACTGGGCGGTTCTGAGGGGGTGGGTCCCAGAGAGTCCTGGAGGGTAGGTCCCAGGGGAGAAGAGGCAGGTCCTGATGTGTGGGGTGAGTCCTGGCAGGTCCTGGGGTGATGTGGGGGGCGGGTCCCAGAGGTTCCTGGGGGGTGGCACCAGTAGGTCCCAGGGTGATATGGAGGGGCTGGGTTCTAGGCTGATGTGAGGGTGTATCCTGGGGTGGTGGTGGTGGGTCCCAGGGTGATGGTGGGGGGTCGGTCCCGGAGGGGGCAGTGGTGGGTCCCAGAGGTTCCTGGGGGCTGGGTCCCTGGGGGATGTGGGGAGCATGTCCTGGGGGGCAATGGTGGATCCCAGGATGATGTGTGGGGGGGTCCCGGGGTGATGTGGGAGGTCCCAGAGAGTCCCGGAGGGGCAGTGGTGGGTCCCAGGGGATCCCGGGGTTCGGTCCCGGGTGATGTGGGGGGCGGTCCCGGGGGGGCAGTGGTGGGGATCATAGAATCATAGAATATCAGAGTTGGAAGGGACCTCAAGAGGTCATCTAGTCCAACCCCCTGCTCAAAGCAGGACCAATTCCCAGCTAAATCATCCCAGCCAGGGCTTTGTCAAGCCGGGCCTTAAAAACCTCCAAGGAAGGAGACTCCACCACCTCCCTAGTTCTACTCTGCAATGTAAATATTGTCATCTCAGTGATTTTCTACTGAGCAGGTTTGATAGGAAAAAAGTCATTTCACTTAACTCGCATTCTTCTGAACTCAACCAATCTTGTTGTCAAGATGGATTTCTTTCCTTCTTCCACCAATGTATGTAATAAGGGTTCTGTGGGATAATTATGTCCTTAGTTGTACCCATGCAACCCTAGTACCTACAGACAGTTTTACATGGGGTAACACAGTGAACAATTCTGCTGAGTCACAAAATCCGGAGGTGGGTCCCGGGGCGATGTGGGGGCGGGGCGGGGGGGGCAGTGGTGGGATCTCGGGGGCGGGTCCCGGGGCGATGTGGGGGCGGGGCCCCAGGCCTGGCCGGCGCGGCTCACGCTAGTCCCCGCCCTCACACCAAGGCCATTGCTCAAGTCAGGGGCGGGACCTGGCGCCACCGAGCTCAGGGCAGCCAATGAAATTGCCCCCGCTACAGCCAAGACCCGCCTCACCCCGCCCCCTATTTTGGGTCCCCGCCCCACGGCCTCCTCTCCGTCTCTTATTGGTCCCGCTCAGTTTTCGTCATTCCCAAGTTTTGCCCTGCCCGTTCTGCTCCTGCCTCACTCTCCATTGGCCCTTTGCCCCATCTGTCTCGTCTCCGTATCCCGCCCCCCTCATCCCGCCTCCTGTGAGCTATGATTGGTTGGGTATGATGTCATCCTGGCCTCCGAAGCTTTTTTATTGGATGATCTGCTTGTCAGTTACCAGTCAGAAACGTTAGGGGGGCGGCGGCGGCCATTTTGTTTACAGAGTGAAAGTGACAGGAGCCGGGGAGAGAGTGGGAAGCAGAACGCCGGTGCTTCTCTCAGCCACGTCCCTCTTCCCTTCCCTGTCCCACCATGTCGGAGAAGCTCAGCGCCGACAGCCGGTGCGAACAGACGGGCGACGAGAAACAGGTGAGGGGCTGAGTCTGGGCGGGATCGCGCTGGGTTCCGATTGGCCACTGGGACTGCCCGTTCGCGCCGGGCTGCGCTGTGATTGGCTGCCCTACTCGTCGTTCCGCGTAATGGTGTTTGGTCATTGGCTACAGGCCTGGTGGGGGTGGTACTTCCGGGGGGCTGTTGGCCGTGGGGTAGATAGGGCTTCAGTGCGGCGTGAGTCTGGACGGGTTGGGCTGGTGGATTGTGGGATACTGGGGGTGTGGAGGCCTCTGTGGCGGGACAGGATGGGGTCAGGGCGCCGTGATGGGATCCTGGGGGGTGTGGAAGCTTCTGGGGCCAGGGTGCGGCAGTGGGATGGGACAGGGTGGGTCAGAGGAGGATGTGGGGGGAGACTGTGATGTTGGGGGTGGGGGGGGGTCCTGGTGTGGGGGTTGAATCCAGGCTTGGGGGTGGTTCCACTAGGGGCAGGGGATTATGGTGGAGGGAGGATCTGGGGGTGCTGGGTTGGGACTTGGACTTCAGCATGGGGTGGCTCTGCTGCTGGTTGGAGCTTGGGGAGCTTGAATTCTTCACCTGGGGTCCGGTTGGCTTAACTACGGCACGCACTCGGGTGGACATTTTTCACCCCGCTGAGCGATGTGGCTAGGTCCATCTACATTTTAAGTGTCGACCAGGGCTAAGGTTACAGCTGTCCATGAAACCATGAGTACACGTATGTGAAAGGAGAGAGACCAGGTGGATGAGGAAATATCTTTTATTGGACCAGCCAGCGTCTGTTGGTGGAAGGTACAAGGTTTTGAGCTACGCAGAACTCTTCTTCAGCGCACCTGCCCCACCAGGTCATCTGAAGAAGAACCCTCTGTAGATCGAAAGCTTATATCTTCTACCAATAGAAGCTGGTCCAATGAAAAATACTGTCCCACCTACCCATGTGTCTCTCATATCCTGGGACTAATACAGCTCCAACTCTGCAAACATATATGTGAAATGGCTTATAATAAGTATCCCTCTCCCACCTGTTAAGACCCCAATGGTAGGACAAAGCCGCCTGCCCAGCCCAGTGAGAGCCACAAGAAGAATTAAGAGCGCAGGAGTTGCTTTAAAAGCAGTGGGTTTGGTGGCTTCCGTATAAAGAACGTCAGTTCACCTCAGTTTCGTGACTTCTCCGTAAATAATTTTTGATGAGAGGTGAGATCGGGTTTGCGTGAAGGGGAGGTAAATTAGGATTATATAATAACAGCTGCTTCAAAGTAAGTAGGGGAATTTCCCTTTAATATTAAGGGGGAGGGATGTTTCTCTCAAAATACCAGTTCAGGCTTGCACTAAAGCAATCACTTTGTTGTAGACAAGTCTGTAGTTCTGTGCACAAGCTGTTGATTTATTTGAGGGTAATAAAGTGCCTTAGGCTAAAGCAGAATTCAGGGGGCGGCCTGAAAATGAAGCTGCAGTAGATGAGAAGAGGTGGCATTATTACTTTGGGGGGGCGAAGCTGTAGTGGAGGTTTTGTATTAACGCTGCGGGACTGAACTGTAGTGAGTAATAATATAAAATTATCCCACATAACCCTTCTGCACAAAAATTCTTGTTTTGCCTTTTGTCTAGGGCAGCTTAGCAGCATGGTGTGCAGCTCCCGTGAGTCATCGACTTTCTTAGAGCATTGCCCACGGTGTCGTGAGCGGAGCAGCTACTCAGACTTATCCACTTTATTTAAAGACTGTCTTAGCAAAGATGCATTGTCTTTCCAATTGTTATTTTCTCTTGATTCTCTTTAAGTGGATGGTAACCAAAGAGAGGAGACGGTAGCTTTAGGGAAAAGGAGAAACCTGACTTAAATAGTCTCTTCCAAAATGCCTTGGCATCGTCTGTCCTAGAAATCATATATGTTGGGACTGGGGAGAAAGTGTTTCCAATCTGAAACCTTCATTTTAAATATTAACTCTTTTCACTCTTGGTTTTTAACATAGGGAAATACTTGCTCCTAAAGCGTCCCTCAACTTAAAATGGTGAAATGGGTACAACAGAGGATATGACTTACTGACCTCCGAAGGCACGGGTTTCTCTTAATGACTTACACAGGGGACCCTGGATATTAAACGCCACTCCACCATCAGACTTAATTTAAAAAAAATCTAAATATGTTTCTGAAGCTTGTGTGTGAGCATAATCCAAATCCCATTGAAGTCATTGGGAGACTGTGGATTGGGCCCTATAGGACCAGTTGGGAAGCTCTGCAAAAGAGAACTGCATTTGTGCCTGCAAGGGTCCAGAACAAGTTTTTATACTGAGTAAATGGATTGTGACCCCTGGCTAGACATTTTCCTCCAGCAATGATACCGTCCAACTGCTTACTAATGGCCGCTGCTAGATCACTGCCACAAGTTTTGAGTTCCTGTGATGCAGGAAATCTTTGACCCTTTTACTTGTGATATCACAAACAGCTATATAGTGTGCAGCCTGGAGGTTAAAAACTTTCTACTACTCTGGCACATAAATCCTACACAAAAGCATTTTAACCACCCATAACACTCACATCTAAATGCCTTCTCGGAGCTCTCACCCCCCTCTAATAGTTGGGAAGTGGAAGAGCATTCTGGGTAACAGTTTGCAAGAACACTTTGAAGCCTGTTTTGTCTCAGAGTTTCTATACACGGCGCTGCCATCTCAAACTTCAGAACCGGAGCAGGATTAGCACAGGCCAGGTGTTCTCATACAAACACTTAGGCAGCTCTCAGCCAAACCGGTTATTGCCCAAACTAATGGTGACACCAGTACAACAGGGATCTGTCAGAACAATAGGCTTTCCTGATCTTACAGTATTATTAGAATAACAGTCATGCAGCTAAAACCTACTGGCCATCTGGGCACATGTGTTCAGTGATACAGGTCCTCTGGGAAAAGTGGCAGCCGTGTGTCGCTGTTAAGTTTGAACAGTGATGAAACATAAAGATCAGCTCTGTGGCAGTTTGGATACAGTGGCAAGACATAAACATGCCCTATGTGAATCCTGGTGCGTTAATCTATCTTGATAGGCCGGTGGCATCATGCATTTGAAAAGGTGCTGTTGTCTCTTTAGTTCAGGTGCTTTGCAGTGCTGCACATGTAACCCTACTATCAAAAAAAATGCTAACTGGTATTGATTTCCCAGCTGTGGTGTTGGCCACTGATCTTGTTCCAATAAGCCGAATAAAGCACAAAGCCATTGACTGTAATTTGCCTGAGCAGCAGTTAAAGATAGTGTACCCAAAATGACAGGAAAGGGCCTGAGTAATGGGAGGGAAATGGCCTTTATGGCCATGTATGGAGATATGACTTAGAAATAAATAATTGAGGGGAGGAGTTGGGATTGAGTGTGTCTGGTAAGAACTACTAGGCTATGGGTAACACAGCCAGAATTCCTGCTAAGAGACCAAACACCACTTTGGAACTTGTGCTTCTCTCTTTAGTTCTCTGCCAGTAAAGAATCCCTTTATTTCGTGGGGCAGCGTCTCTTTGAGTTGTTGGTTGAGTGGCATCTGTCTACCTGTATCCTCTTCCTAGAAAAGAGAACTTCACTAAGACAGCCAGAGCGATAAATCTCCATTAACCCTAACACCATTGGAGTAAATACTATAGCAGAAAATATCTCAGAGGACACTTGTGGCCAATGTTCCACAGCCAACTTCTCAGCAGCTGTCAACTGCCTTTAATAGACCAGATAACCAACTTGTATGTTTCCAGCTGGGCTACGTATAGTCGCTAGCCACCACCTGTCATCCACAGAGCATCCTCCAGTATACCTGTCTGTCCTGCGCCAGGCACACATCTTCGCTCCTAGCTTCCAAGCCTCTCCATCCCAGTTACCCCACTATGCTCAACAGATTGGAGAATAAGATATGTACACAGGTAGGAAACATCGTTTCTACCCACCATCTCCAACCCACTAGTCAACTATCAGACACGAGGACCACTCTACCTCCCCCTCGACCCAGCATGGACTCTAACTGCCAAAATACACATTCACCATTGGTGGTACCAGCACTACTAACTTCCTCCTGTACGTCCTTCCTTACCTGGAAGGACCAGATCCAAGACTGAGAGATTTCAGTGTCTGTCTATGGCTCAATCCGTCTGAGACAGTGAACAATGAACAATTATGATGATGTGGATTTTGAGATGTGGGCACGCCTGCCTTCACTTTGTTGGCTAATCTGTTAATTTGCAGTGGCTTCTCGAAATATTTTGCCTCTCCTTCCAGTGTTTTACCTGGTAATGGACCAAATGTCACAGGCTGGTGAAGGCCAGCAACAAAGCAAATCTGAGGATCCCAGATATGCTGCACAGGCCATCTAAATTGAACTGAGTTCCCACTGTGCAAGATCTTGTCTGGAATTGGTGGCAATAGTGACTAGCAGGAATGGAGGTTTCCAGAACGGCCTAGTGAATGCTGCAGGCAGAGAGGGCTGACAGCTGACCCAGCCCATTAGGCCGCTCTCTGTAGAGGAAAAACCATCTAAATCCAGATCTTAATCCAGATCTTAAACAGGCCAGTGGCCTCTGTTCTAAATCTTTGAAAAACTTCATGCCCACTGAAATGCCTTCCAACAGATGACTTGTCAAGAATAACAGAGCAGCAAGATTTCTTAAGACAGACTGTGCCATTCTATTTCTGGTCACCTACTATTGACCCTCGAGTGTAATAAGCCGTACAGCCCTAGGAAATGGAATTGACTGTATTTGGTAATTCATAGTGTCAGGACTTTTATACCATTGAGTCTGTTCTCAAAGCTGTATTTAAAAATTCTGAAATAACTGAGAAATATAGTCACTCTGTGGTTCCGCTGACATCCACGCTCTTTACTTAAGCAAATTCCGCTTAAAGAATAAGGCTGGGATAAGCACTCTCTTGGAGGACAGAAGTGTGACAATCCTTCTATTCCTCTTTCCTCACATGATTGGAGGGGTGGAAGTGAGTAATACATCCCAGGCAGCCCTCAAACCACCTCTACCACTGGGCAGAGACAAATATTTAGTTGCAGATGGGATCATTTTTGAAGCCATCACCAATTTCTGCTCTTGTACAGCAACTTCTTTACAAAAGTTCTGAAGCTGTCACTTAAAAACCAGTCCACATTATCAGATATTTACAGGTCTCAACTAATTTTCTAGGTTAGGATACTGATTTCTATCTTTTTTGTTAATTTTTCCAATTCGAAAGTTTCACGTCTGTTTCAGCAGAGTTCCATCTGTATATTTCTGAGCAGAGGTGTCTTGAACCCAACCATAACATGCCCAATCCGAACCATTACGGCAGAACTTTGCCTGTTCTCTTTACTAAAATCAAATGTAGATTATCTAGTTGGATGGATTGTGTCCCGCCCTTTTAGCAAGAGGGATTCAGTTTACTTGGAACACAGGAGTAGCTAGGCGGGATCAAACTCATGGTCCCTCTAGTGTGATGTCCTGACATTGACCAGAATCCTGTTTCTTACATCTGTGAGCTTGCTCTAGCAACTCTCTGCGTGACCGTATTGACACCTGCATGCCAAGCTGAAGATAAATGTTGGTTTGTTTTGTTTTTTCCCCCCTCTGCAAAGTTTTTTAGTCTTTGATTCCAGCAAAGACATGGGAAATCTCAACCCTGTTTTTACCTTGCCTAATCTACTCTGTACTTAGGCCATGAGCCTTTGGGCCCAGGGGCTTGAGAAGGAACTTGCCACAGAACAAGTCAATGCCACTTCTTGATCAACCAGAGAGATGATCTTATGTGCTCTTCTGCCGCTGGAGCCGGGCTTGCTGCGTCTATGATGCTGGATGGCATAGACGATTGAGTTGCCAGTTTGAATTTGGCCTTGGTTGAAACTGACTCGAGTCAGCATTGTTTGGTTTGTACGACACAAGTCGCGAAGTCTCAGTCCCGTTCTTAGTAGGCAGGTGTCCATGTTGCAAAAACCATCGCACGTGAGGGGCTGGTGGGGATCTCTGCAGAGGGGCTAAAGATTCATAGATCTTAAGGCCAGAAAGGATTGCAAGTCTGACCTTCTGTGTAACACAGTCCATAGGACAAAGAGTCTTGGATGGTGAAATACCATCTTGCTCTGGCACTGTTCTCTTCAGCATAGGGCTGAGGTACACACATGGGTGGGGTGGCTCAGGGTATCTGATGCTATCTGTGCTTTGTGAATACAGAGACCTTCTGGCTTCCTGGGCTGGCTTCAGCATTGTGGAATTCCCCTTCATGAAGAAATATGCACTAAAAACATTGATTTGCCTCTTGTCCTTTTAATGATGCTTAGTGATCAAAGAGCTCGGTTGTTTAAAACAACTATCTTAAAGCAATGCTAGGAAATGGCACTGTGGAATGTTGATGCGTTGAATACATGTGAACAACTACTCCATGTTGAAGCAGCAGAACTTGATCTCTGCGACCCACCCGGTGAGCTGTTTCTGGCATGTTGCTTGCTCTTGAGTATAAAAGCTTGGTTGAATTTCTAGCCACCGCCCATATTGGCTCAGCCAATTGGCTTCTGCAATGTGGAAAGGTTAGAAGAGTTACCGATGGTGCCACACTTAACTGATGGGAGTTGATGTGAAACTGATGACTGCCTGCCTGAACCTCATTGCCTGGGTTAAACTTACCAATGGCTCCTTATCTATGGCTGTATCTCTCACCTGACCCATTTATCTGTCGGCTTTCCCACAGGCTTTCTGAGAAAGCCACTCCCCCTATGGGTTTAGAATTGAGTTTACAGTATTCTCAAAGTATGTTTAAGCATTTAAGGGGCCACACCTCAATTAGTGATCAACATTAGGCTTGTAGTTACAGGACAAACATTGTATAACTAGATTTCCCAGCTAAAATAAGTGTCCTGTTTCATAGGGTTGAATAGCTTTAATCCGTTTCTTGTTTTTCAGGATACACAGGAGAAGGAAACAGTCATCCCTGAGAGAGCAGAAGAAGCAAAACTAAAGGCCAAATATCCTAATTTAGGACAGAAGCCAGGAGGGTCAGACTTCCTAATGAAAAGACTGCAGAAAGGGGTACTTACCTACTCAAATACCCTTGTCTTGGAAGCGAACCGTTGTCATCACTAGATGGTGTAAAGAAAAGTGTATATGATATAGATAGTAGCACTTAAAGTAGTCTAGACATTGTTAGTAAAGACTGTATTGAATGAGAGATTTGGATTCAGTATGTACATAGGGTGCTTATATTTCTGTCTATTGACCAAACCGGACCAGTGGCTGAACATGTAATGCCATTTGTATCTAATACATTTCTATTCGTTACCGTTGCTGGCCTGGGGATATATCGGGCATGAAATAAGTCGGGCATGACCACTTGAAAAGTATTCAAATGTAGAAACAAACCTAATTTTGATGTAGCTGTCCAGGATGAATATGAGTTTACTTGTACCTTGAGTGACTTTGTGCTTATGAATGTTATTGATAATGCAAGCTTGTGCCAGGTCTGTAGGACCTGATTAAAGCTCTTTGGGATTGGCCCCATCTAAAGCCCACTGAAGTCACCATAGTAGATGTCTGTGTGGCACATTCCCCTCTTTCGTAAGCTCCTGATTGAGATCATCCCAGGCTGTTCTTGTGTTGGGCTGTCTTTTGTGTGGTGGGTTTTGCTATGTGAATATTGTTTAGTGGCTTCCCAGTTCTCCACCTTGTGACCCGTCATGATTTGGACTCTGATACTTAGAAACTAATGCACTGATCTCCCTGTGCCATCTGGGCCTCTCCCTGGGATCTACCTTAACGCTGTGCAGCTGGTCCTGCACCAGCCGGTGATCTGGCAGATCAGATGTTCCAAATCTCACATGTGGGTTCAAAGTAGAACCCTTAAAGAATAATGATGCAAAATTAGAAACTGTGGGCTTGATTTTTCCATTCCTCTGCACCTTGTGCAGTCACTTAGACCTGTGCAAAGTGGGTGTAGAAATGCCACCGGCCCAGAATGGCAGCATTTTACACCCACTCTGTGCTGGTGTACGGCTGGCCAAGGTTCAAGGCAATGGTGTATCAAGCCTCGTGACTCCTATGGCCGAGGAATTAGTTAAAGCCCTCACTGAAATTCAGTAAAGCAAAGCCTGGCATCTTGTTTATAGCTGTAATATTTTACAAAGCCATTGTAAAGCAGTCTGGTACAGTATATGAGCCTCTTATCCCCTTCAGATTGTTTCCCAATCCCCTGAAAAGTTGGGGAAAATGCAACAGTTTTGCTGTTTTTCCCATTTAGAACCACAGGGATTCTGCCCACTGCCTCTGTTTGCTTCCTGGGAATTAACATCATTGTTTTCCTTTTATAGCTTTTATTTATAGCCTTCCATCCTGCCAAAACATCATTGTGTGCCAGCATTATCTCTTGCTGTCGATGTTACTCTGGTAATATTGTTTTAGGTAACAACCTGCAGAGCAAGCACAAACATAATGGTTATTTAATGTCTTGGCATGGAAGCAATAGGGGTTTTTGTTTTTAAATCCGATATTTAGAGGAGAATCAGGCCCTAACTCCCCCCAGTGGGAGAGCAAAATGAGGTCTTTCTCACTTACACCAAAGCCCCTGTGTGGTGCTCTGGCAGACATGTCATTTACACCCACTTTAAGGCCTCTTTTATGCTGCCAGAATGGGGTAAATGAAAATTGGGTCCTGGAGTCTTTCCCCATTAGGGGTACAGTGATGTGGCAGTAGGTCAAGTGTTTGGGCTTTAAAAGTCACTTTAAGGAACTCGGTAAACCCAACTGAAGGCTTGTCTACATTACCTGCTGGATCGAGGGGCAGCGATTGATCCAGCAGGGGTCGATTTATCGCATCTAGTTTAGACGTGATAAATCGACCGCTGAGCGCTCGCCCGTCGACTCCGGTACTCCACCAGGGCGAGAGGCGCCGGCAGAGTCGACGGGAGAGCGTCAGCCATCAACTTACCGCAGTGAAGACACCGCAGTAAGTAGGTCTAAGTACGACGACTTCAGCTACGTTATTCATGTAGCAGAAGTTGCGTAACTTAGATTGATTTTCCCCTTCTCTCTCTCTCTCCC